TAACAGTAATATACCCTTACATAAATTAGTGGCATTCCATGTTTGCAAACAATGTTTTTTAGGCAAAAATAGAAATTGTGCATTTTAAGTTTCAAAAACAATACTGGTATTTATTTAAAATAGTGAAATATAATTTAGCCAAATCAAGGAATTTAAGACAGCTGAATCTCTATTGCCCCTGTTATGTTTTCTTTTTATTGGTGAAAACAAGCTGTATAACAGGTTTTGTAACACCGTTGTGAAAAGAAAGCAAGTATGTATGGCACCACTTTTAAAAATTTCTATTAGCTGCTTTTATTTGCCACATTTTTCCCTTTTCTTCTCTAACATGGGTTTTTCATTTAATTTTTGAGTATAAAGAAGTGACCTCTGCATATCTATCTTGAATACTGGCTGGTTGATGTCTAGAATACTATTAGCAAAGCTTTCTAAAATCTTGTAATTTCTAGGAGTGATTGCGGATAGTCTTTTAATCAACTATTTGGTTTCCCTCTTTGTTCCTCTGGCAAATTCTAAGATGGATAGCATTACGCGCCGATCATTATCTATTGAATTTTTAAGGAATATCAAGTTGTTAGGAATGTGTCTTTCTTATGATGCAGGGCATTGAAAGAACTTGTGAAGTTACTACCTTCTTTTCCTGTGATCGGTGAATTTGCACGGCGATCGCTACTGTTCTACGTTAATTCAGCAAAGAACCTTTGATCTGATGTTTGGACCAAGATGACAGTGGTTTACTCAATTCACAGCCATCGTGGCTTTTCGGCCATGCGTGTCCACACGGTTTGTTTTGCTTGCGGCAGTCTCTGCACAGAGAAACACAGCTATTGCCAGGTGGCCATGTGTCTGAGGCAGAGAATAGAAACAAAGGGCAAAAAAAATTCCTTTGACAGAGATTTTAAGCATCGACTGCCAGAGTAGATACTATTAAAGGGAGAAAAATGCAATGATGTTGAACTATACTAACGGGTAACAACTTCATGGGCCCGGAGATTCAGATCAAAAGTTCCCTCTGCACTGGCTAACAT